GTGGAGCGTCCTCCACTGCTTCAGCACCAACTGATACCCTCTTCGTTGGACGGGCAGTATCGGTGGTGACCCGTCCCCCTGCTATGACAAGTTGAAACTCTTAGTTACAGAGGCGGACACACACAGAGTGCCGATATCGGCGCTCTGGAGGAACTTACTAATCACCTAAAAAGCTTTAGAAAGAAAGACAAGGAAAAACAAAAAGAGCAAAAGAAAAGGGCAAGAGAGAAAAATAGGAGTAGTTACGAGGCCCACTAGTTTTGAAACCTTCTAGTTACGGAATACTTACAGTAGCCGAAGTGAATTAAATGCATTAGTTAGCGAGCGGGACATTCGTTTTAACCGCCCGGGTAGCTAGGAGTAGAAAAGGAGAAACAGAAGGAAAGGTACCGACACACAAGCGTGTTGAGTACCATTTCCTTCTGTAACCCTAGATAGTGGGTGGGATAGAAACATGAATTCGGTTGCAAGTTGGGGGGGGGGGTGCGTGGAGGTGCATGTGTGACACATATACATGGCCGTAAGCCCGGCGGCGTGGAAGGTGAGTCGCATGTTTGACACATATACATGGCCGTAAGCTCGGCGGCGTGGAAAGTGAGTCGCAAATGGACATGTCGAAGGAACTGGACAAAATGCGACATCAATCGCATGAATGCACCGGTGGAAATGTTGTCGTGGGCCCGACGGCATAGGGCATAGGGTTTTGGGAATCCAGGAGTGAAACAGAGTCCGTTAAGAGAATCCAACGTGCGCAGAACGGAAGAAAATCAGTGAATGGCAATCCGAAATGAGGACAGCGCTCCCTTGCGGGAGATCACACCCAGCACCCAAGTGGGACGACTGAGCGGTTCACACTCTGACATTGGTTTTCAGTTAATCTATTCCCAAGTGGAAAAAGGTGAGGGAACGGAAAGGTGGAAGAGTCCGCAGAACAGTATTTTTTAACAGAAGGTTATGCGTGACTGCAGAACACTAGTTACTGAATACTTAGCAGGCCTAGGAAAGGAAAGAGTGAACCGAAAGGCAAAGAGTCCGAGTACTTGAAGGTGTTTTAATAAAGGTTGACGCGTGACTGCAGAAAACTAGTTACTGAATACTTAGCAGACCTAGGAAAGGAAAGAGTGAACCGAAAGGCGAAAAGTCCGAGTACTTGAAGGTGTGTTAACAAAGGTTGACGCGTGACTGCAGAAAACTAGTTACTGATTACTTAGCAGAGTGAATTCACGCCGTGCAAGGAAGCCTGTTTTGGGGGATATCATGCGAAGAACCACCATGGAAACAGACCAACAGCGGCAAGGGAAACCAGTGGAGTCATTGCGTTTGATGCAGGTACACAGTGGAGCGTCCTCCACTGCTTCAGCACCAACCGATACCCTCTTCGTTGGACGCGCAGTATCGGTGGTGACCCGTCCCCCTGCTATGACAAGTTGAAACTCTTAGTTACAGAGGTGGACGCACACACCCTCATAGCACAAGACTCTTTCAACACATGGTGGAATCACTGAAGAGTTTCGCTGTCTTTTGTTCCATCATCATATCTTCTCATATCTTCAATGCACCTCAAGCTGGCCCGCTGGGCGTGCTCTGGCACAAACGCGGTACGTTTCGTTCCCACAGCATTTGAGGAAGGTTCTTCTGCAATTGCAATGCTGGTGGACCGATGGGTGGATATGGGTGCTTTTGTGTAGGATTGGACAATTGCCCAACAACTCCCCAGCCAACATGTCCAGGTCCATACATGTCCTATCTAGAAAGACTTAGAAAGAATAATTAGTCAACTGTCCAACACAAAAAGAACTCGACTTGTTTGCAGCACACTCTAAAGGTTTGTATACGTTGTGTTTGTTCACTGTAAGACATGTCACATCCAACACCACCCACGCACACACGATGGATTCTGCAGAGTCCCGTTGTCAACATCGTGTGCCCCTGAATCAACACAAGCCAGGTCAAGCCAGCAACCAAGCAGATCGACGAGCCACTCGACACGCAATAGTGGGATGAATCAATCACAATCCATTGTTTTTTGCGTAGAAACGTTGCGTCTGTTGGGTTTTCACCCACATACATCAAACGCCGTCAAACGAACAGGAATTCGTTTTTTTTGGTCGAGGAGAAACACGTCTTTAGGTGGCCGCGCACGCTGGAAGTAGCAACACACCTACAGAACTCCTGCGATTCTGTACCTCCTCATAGTGCGGAAATCTGTTGAACACATTCTTTGAAGTCTCCCAACAATTTCCCTTAAAGGTTATCAAGTCGACTCACAAGGCGTGCCGTGACAAATTCATAAATATTTGAATACAATGAAGATTATGAGGAGTCAGACGAAGGAGAATGATGAAGCATGAACATTCGGGTTGTCTACTTTGGTGGTGTGTTCACCTTCGTCGTTTTGGGAGGGACCAAACCTCCGTATGACCTGAGGAACTCTTTCACTGCGATCTATCTTGCATGTGATCCGAAGACCAAGTTCGGCAAGTGCCTTGGCTGCAGAGCTCTGGCCCGCTGTTCGTACACTTAGCGGGCTGTTCACTCAACGACTCAACGCCAACGCTTTTGCACAGACACGCAAATTAAGATGAACATTTGAGATGTTTTGATCAGGAAGTTATATACAGTAGTGTATTATAAACCCCTAGAAGGTTTCTGATATGGGGTCCGAAATGTATTTTAATGGCGGGGTCAATCAGGAGCAAGACTAAATCTCTTCATGAGGAGAGATTCCACAGACTAAACCTCTTCACAAGAATCTCTTTGTGAGGAGGGATCCCAAAGACTTAAATCTCTTCATGAGGATGGATGCCAAAGATTGAATTGCTTCATGAGATTCTTCTCTTTTGGGCGACGCCCTTTGGGAGCTTGAGCAAGTAACTTGTTGGGCGGGGGCGGTAGCGCGGCTTTGGGGGCTCCGTAGCTGGCTTAGACTGGAGCCATGCAGCTGACTGATGCAGATTTCAGTCATAGGCATGAAGGATGTGAGGCAGGTGGCTCGGACCAATGAGAAGACAGAGCACTTTGAGACTGCTGAGGAGGCCTGGGTCTTGGCAGGATGCAGGAGGAAGGAAGACTGAGGATTGATTGGAGGAGGCATTTGCTGCACATACCCGCAAATTTGGCCAATGAGTTTCCCTGAATGGGTAATGCCATGTAATGCCAAAGGATGAGTCAACAATGAGCCAGCATCAGAACAACAATTAACTGGGATAAGGGCGGGGCTTTTAATTGACCACAGGATCATACAGTATAGCGGGACCTAAGCCGGACCAAACTAATTCCACCAGGCTTAAACGTATCCCATATCTGGCCGATATCCTGCAAGGAAATATATAAATCCAACACATCAAACCCAGGATCCAAGCCAACAACACGGAGCTGGACAAAGTGTGCGGCAGTGGACTTTGGGATGCAGTTGGGATCACCAGGACTCCGGTCGCCAGTTGACGTTGCGTGTTGCTTGAGCAACGGCCTCCAGTGGCTTTGCAACTCTTGAAGGGCCTGGCTTGCGGAAGAGGAGACGGCAGTTCTAAGTTAAGTATTGGACGTATCATGCCAGACGCAGAACTTTGAGCATAGTCCAGTATAACAAGGTTTAATCAATTTTAATCAAGATGTATGAACAAATAGAGTTTTCTTCACGGCTGGGGGTAACAGTTAGCAAACATATTTTTAGATATATACGTAAATAAATAAATAAATATACATATATATGTATATTCATTTTGCCCCTTGACAGGCACGGTGGTCAACATTACGCATTACACATGTGTTCTATTGAACTCTGCAGGTTTTTGCGTTCAGTCGTGTTGTGCTGGAATCAAGAATCGTTTGTGCAGGAGCACCTTCCCATAATAGAAGGGGCAGCGGATGATCCCCGCAGGCCAGGGAGCGAAATAGCAGCTGGCCTTCGTTGTCTGATACTTACTTGTAGATACTTAGATGTACTTGAGCCTAGCAGTCCTAGCGCGTAGCAGAAGGAGCAACTTGAGAAAGTTTGACCAAAGTGGAGAGTGAATTCAACACAGCTGTGAATTAGCGCTGTTCACGATTGAATTTATACAATGTTAAAATTATGGTTTTCTGATACGGGCGTGACATGTAGTGTCACCCTCGCTCTGTAGTTTTTGTCAGGGCGCGCGATGCCATTTCTAGGTTCAAGAATTAAAATATGGGTCAACCGTACTGAGACGCCCAAGGCCGTAAGCAAGTGGTCGCAGACGAAGGTTTCTTGTGACTGTTGTTTGGTTTCACTTTTGGACTGTTGCATTTTCGAACAAGGGTGATCCATGGTTGTATTTGGTTGTATGGTTGTGTATTCAGATGATGATATTATATAATGTCTTGGCTTAATGACAAGCAACAATGTACGGTTCATTCGGATGTGAGATATTGTTGAGGTAATTTTCATGTGGCAGACCCCCAATCCAGTAGGATGCATGTGGATGCACACCTATTCAGACATGGTTCCATGGCTTTAGGCTCTCAGAGGCGACCTTACTGTTTTTTTCTTTTTTCTGGAGCACTAGACTAGACCGAGATGTTATGTTTGCCACATTGCCCTGATCTCCGGAGGTGCCGATGGATCGATCTGGATCGGTTCAGTTTGGTTGATCGACCTGCGACGAAAAGACCGGGCTGTGGCGGCTGTGGCTGTGATTTCTTGGATTTCTCGGGTGCATGTTGGTGAAACATGGTGAAACATGGTGAAACCATGTCGAGCAATTGCTTTGTCCCTACGCATGCTACCCTGCATGGAGCCGTAGTCTTCTTTGGCCGCCGCATGTTTGAAGAGGATAAGAGGGTCCTTGCAAAAATGCTTGAAGATAAGTTCAGTAGTTCAGTAGCTTTTGCCCATGCCAAATCATGAAGAGCGTATAAGAATGTCACAGTCCAAGTTTCTAGCTTTGGATGCGCCCGATAGTATCCTGCAGCCTAGAGACGAGAATGAACTGTGCAGGTGCATCATCCTTCACGACTTTCATTGCAACCCGCTTGTCCAGGTATCTGCTGTGTACACTGGGAACAGCCTGCAAGCAAAGGAGCTTACCACACCAGGCTAGGGACTTTGTCACTAGACTTGCCTGATGCCGCAGCTGATGTCAGGCCAGAAGTGTGATGACATTGCAGAAACAAAGCGCGGCAATGTGGCACTTCAATATTATGGAACATTGATGCATGAATATGGCTCCAGTGTACTCAAACATGGGGCATAGGGTGCCCTACAACCCCTCCTAATCAATGCGGTAAATGGAACAGATCACCAAAACCTGTGGGTCCATTGTGTTTTAAATACTTCTTGAGTACGGAAACAACTTTCTCTGCCAGGACTGGATGCCACCTGCGCGGTGGTCGATCTCACCGATGGCAGGCCGTTTTTTTTGCTTAGATTTGAACATATTACGATCGGGTATTTGTATGCGACTGTGTTTTCTTTCTCACACAGCTTGGGCATATAGTACAGGGGAGCCCAGTGGACTTGGTCTTTGCAAGGACACGCAAAGCTTCTAGTAAAGAAAGCCCTCCGACTCCTAACTCTCAGATTCTCATCAGCTCCGGGGTGTCTTTGATGCATCCCTCAAAAACGGGATCTTCACGTCCTTAGCTGGTCGTCCTTCCAGCCTTCCAGCTCCACTTTGTCCCCGCATGTGTCAGCGCATGGACCACAGTTCCCTTGCTTGGAGGTCATTAATGCTTCGCTTCCCGGTGGAAACCAGCGCGCAGGCTGCCGAGGCCAGGCTTGATTTGGGTCTGTCTCCAAGAGAAACCCCAACAAATGGCGGGTGTTCATCTACTCAAATCTTCCCTCTCAAAGTAGCGACTTGGAGACTCAATTAGGTGACCGTCTTCTTTACAGGTGAGCCGAGTGCCGGAGTTGCTTCAATCTCAATCTCATCTTTGGCAGGCCCAAATTTTCGCGCACTGCATGCAGATTTTCGTGAACGAGGTGCTTTGCTGTGATGGTGGGCGATTACTTTCCAGATCAGGTGTTTTACTGTAAGACTTTAAGATCGGAATCCGTGCATGTTGGCACTCGTACAATTCTGCGGTGCATTGTGCGTTCACTTATAGGAGAGTTGACTTGTTGGTGTTGATGTGATGGCCAACAGTGGAAGGCGGCCCAGTAATATAATGTCCTGCTACCCTTGATACAAGCTGACAAGCTGTTGGTTGGCCGTGGTTGCCCCACTTCACAAATTGCGCAAGCACAAGGATCCCTTCCAGATGCTGTTTTTCTCTTATCATGACTCGCAAGTCCAATCACGCCAATCACTGAGCTCTGAGGTTCTGCTATACCATCCATGCCTAAGCAAGATTTGGTTAATCTGGCCAGGGTCAGTCTCCCCGTCCGCACCATGAGGTTCGTCGGGAGTCTGGAGGAAGTCAGAGATCACCTGAGTCGGCCTAGCTAGCCATGTGGCCAATGTGCCGTGCCATGCAGTTGACCCCGACTGGATGGGTTTGGCAAACTCGATGAGAGAGGAGACTGGAGGGTGGGAACTCATGGCAAGCCTGTCACAGATATAAACACATTTTGGTTGTTTGCTACAAAACCAGCTGGCAGTGCCACAGATGCCTGCAAACATAGATTGAGCGCCCTTGAGCGCCCAAGCGAAAGGACGTCTTCGCAATCGGCAGATTCGTCTGGTTGGAAGGGTCCTCTACTGGGTGTTGGTTTCTGTGCTTAGATTGGAACAATATGAAGGAGACACCTTGGAAGATCTTGGACGCCTTAGGACATCTTAGGACCAAACACATTGAAGACATCGTTATGGATTAGGAGCAGTGTTCGCTATGATCGGGGCTCCTGGCATCGCTACTGGGAGCAAGAAGCTACTATTTCACAGTCTCAAAGTTCCACGATGCGGATCGTTTTTCGCTTTGGCACTGGCTTTGCAGTGGCGCTGTAGTTGTCTCCCCATCGAGAGTGGTGATCAGATTCATTCTGAAACGTCAGAGGTTTGAGGGTTGGTGGAAGGGGCCGTAGCTCCCCTCTCGCCAAGCACCTCTTTGATGGTGGATGTCAGTCAGACAAACTTGGTGGCACAATGTGGGACATTTGGACATGCTCTACAAATGTGCTTGATAAATTATTTTGCATGTTTGCTCCCAACTAGATACTGAGTCTATGAGAAGACTGCTCAGTCCTACTGTTTTTAGACCTGCATCCACAAAAGGAGAAGTGGCAAGGGAGGAACTTCCTTGCTCCCAGGTGAAGTGAGCAGTGACTGTCGATGCGGTGTAAATGCTGCACCCTGTCGCCCTGTCAAAGCGGCAGGTTTGGACCTTTGGGCTTGATCTTTGGACCTTTTGGTTCATGTAATATATCCTCCACACTTATTTGCGAAATGAAGATCCGTTTCCCTTATAAAATTGCCTGTGGCCTAAGTCATGACATTCTATAAAGACAACATGTTTTCCCTATATATGGGCTGCATAAATCAAGCTTTCTGCAAGAAGAGATAAGCCATTATGTAGATAAGACAGGGTCTTAAAAGGAGGAAAGCCAGTCCTTCCAGAGCAGAGCCGAACTCACTTTATACAAATCTCGTTCTCCACATTCTGGCACCTGGCAGCAACAAAACAATGTGGACTAACACATTCTATAAAAACGAGACGGTGTTCATTCTATAGACTATAGACAAAAATCATCGATTCATCACCCCTATTCACTTTATAGCCACAATTCCTTTATCAAATGAAAAATGCTACCCCCGAGGCACCAGCAAGGAGGACGGTCATATGATGTCACATGATGAGCGACCACTAAACTAGACTTTGGACCACTGGCATCATGGAAGCAACATTGGATCAGCTCCGACAGCTTAAACAGTTTGTAAATGATGCGTATTGTTTCTTGAGATGTTCAGTAGCTTTTGTCATACCTTGTCACATTCAAATTCTGCCACACCCCACTTGTCGGTAGCTCCTACAAGAACAGGACAGCGTTGGACACTGCTCAATTGGCTAGCTGCAACATTGCTCAGACTGCACGAAAAAGACACGAAGTGGTTTTTGCATTTGCTTCTATTAGTGGGTGGTGCTTGAGCCGAAATGAGCCGGAAGACTTGCTTGGATTCCAAAGGAAAGTACAATTGCAACTCCTTTGCTTATTGGGCTCAAGACTTGGAGATGCTGCTCAACATGCGTTGCACTGGCAAGAGAGACCAGCTGGCCTGGGCTGGACGTTGTCCCAGTCGTGGTTTGTTTGCCTGGCAGTCTAACACAAGTGGCTTAGGGTATTTTCACTTTATCTCCCAAACGGGTTGCCCTCGTCCACCGTAAGCCTGACCACCTTTCTGGGAGCGGGAGGTAGATAGTGAGATCGGCCCGGCGGGTATGTCTGGGCATTGGATACTTCTCACCGAGGCGCAGTGTAGATTGTAGAGTACATTTTGGAGTGATAAAGCACAAAGTCATGCAACGCCAAGCAACATGTTCAAAAAGGAACACAAAACGTCATTGAGCAGAGCTTTCCTTGAGCAAGCAATCGTTCATGTTCATGTTTCATGGACTTTTGCATGTAGCTCACTCCAATACCTGCCAACCGCATCGCTTTTTTCACTGGCAGTTGTAAACCAGTTGTCCCAGCGGCATTGCCTCTCAAGGGACCAAAAGGTTCCGATTTTGACAGTTTTTTGCGCAACTCATTATACATTTTTCCTCCATGGCTGTCAACTCCTGGGCAGGCCGCTCTGCTTGTGAAAACACACATTGACATGACCACATGAGGATGCCTCTTGTGTGGTTGGTTTGTTGACTGTCATGAAATGCCAGCAGTCCCGAGCTTTACAGTTTGGTTGCTTGCATGGGCTAGCTGCATTCTTTGTTATTATAAACTTAGTATGAGTTATTGTGCCCCGAGTTGAGATTGGATAAGTTGATCTCAATTGGATATCATTCTGTCACATTCTATCATTCTTGCCCGCCTAACTTATGACCCCCAAATGCTGAAGGCCATTCAAAGAGTCTCCACAACCAGATTGTTTCGTTCTCGCTTTTCGAGCTTACGACACTCCCCAGCAGGCTGTACGACACTCCTCTTGGCACTCCTCTTGGACTCGGTGACAGCTGCGCGACATCGCCAGGATCAGGCATGAAACAAAGATGCTAAGCCGGCCGCATGGTGCTGGGGTCCGATGTTTTTCCTAGTAGTGAAGGTGTTTGGGGGTGTTTGCCAGAACTGCGGGCTTTACATATAGATCCGTAAATAGACGAGGCGGGCATGAAAGAGTAGGCCTTTGTCGTCAGTGCCGAAATGCACACGTCACGGAGGCTAAATTTTGACCGGAAATGGTTTGATTGATTTACAAGATCTCAGTGCATTTGTAACGAGAGAGCGAGAGAGAGAGAGAGAGAGAGTGAGTGAGTGAGTGAGTGAGTGAGTGAGTGAGTGAGTGAGAGTAAGTACCGTAGTCTCAAGTCTTTGATTTGATGGTATGGAGTTCAACATCATTGTCTCCCTCGAAGGACTTTCACCCCTGAGATCCTGCCTCCATTTACAGAACCAAAAAGCAGAAGTCAGCTTACAAGTTGTATTATATAACTCTTCACAGCTTGAAAGCAAGAACTCTTCGTGATTGGCGACCCTGACGCCTCTGCTCAGACAAAAAACTGGGCAATGGCAATGGCCCTGGCTCCTTGCTTAGAGTGGCTTAGACCCTGGGCGACTAATGAGTGGTCAGCAGAACAAGCAAAGTTTTGATCTTTTTGGGTTGAGTCAAAGCTAATCGCTCGAAGTGCGCTTTCTGCTATATTCAGTGTATTTACCTGGACTTGCTTCGACCTACTGGAAACCTTGGGCATGTCAGATTGATCTACAGTAAGGCTCAGAGCACCCTAGAGACTGAGTGACTGAGTATGATTCGTTGTCCATTTTGGTGCCGGATATGTGAACCAACAAGGGACATGCAGCCAATTCTTGTTCGCTTTGGAGGGCCACACTCTGTGTTGCTTGCGTCGGGGTTTGTCGCCAAAAATGAGGGACCCCCAAGCAGCAGGTGCATCAAACGTTCTTTTTCCAGGGGCTCCTTAACCCTCAATTTGAGAGGCACCGAACCTGTATATTGTTGTATCATTATGTCATGACTGCTTAGCGATCCCGAGGTTACACAGATGCAAAGACATACACAACGAGCAAGATAGGGGGAGGGGAAGAGTCGGGGATACAGAGATGCTACAATGACTACAACTTGAGCTAGCACGTCCATCAGGCAGAAAAGACGCGTGCACAACTCAACAGTTTGGCAACTCTTTATGAGAGAGAGACAGAGAGAGTCAAGGAGGGAGGCAGGCAGGCAGGCAGCCAGGCAGCCAGGCAGGCAGTCAGACAGCCAGCCAGCCAGACAGACAGACAGACAGGCAGAAATAGAAAGGAGAAGAGAGAGCAAGCATGCAAGAGAGAGGGAGAGAGAGGTAGAGTTAGAGCGCGAGACAAAAGAATATAGTATAATGTCAGGGCTTGATCAATCCCCTTAGACGCTTTGTTATGTTGGGGGGGTCGAAGAAGGATTGAACATGTCGCTTAATTGGGGGGTCTCCCCAAGACTAAATCTCTTCATGAGGAGAGACCTTAAAGACTAAGTCTCTTCGGGATCCAAAGACTAAATTTCTTCACGAGGAGCGATCCCAAAGATTAAATCTTTGCATGTGGAGGGATCCCGAAGATCAGGGTTGTATGAGGAGGGAAGGGAATATTTATGGAAGGAAATCAGTGGGATTGCTTTTGATTGGAGGAGGCATTTGCCGCACATGACATATCCACCAATTTGGCCAATGTCCTATCCGATGAGTTTCACTGAGCCGACAATGGGCTAACGGCATGAGCCAACAATGAGCCAGCAGGAGCCAAAGGAGTTTCGAAAGTTACTTGGAGCAGGGATGCTACTCAATTGGGATCGGGGGCTGTTGAAATTATATACAGGGGTTGAAAGGGAATAGGGAAGAAAAGGTTGGCATTGCAAAAAAGATTGGCTCCAAGTAAGAAAGGTGAACCAAACTATATAATTTTACCAAGGGGCGAGCATGCTTTTGAAAGGCGGCTATTATTGCCAGAGCAAGGCGGACCAAACTATATAACAGGGCGGGGGTTCCTTGAGAGAGACAGAGAGAGAGGGAGAGAGAGAGAGAGGGAGAGAGGGAGAGAGAGAGAGGGAGAGAGAGAGAGAGAGAGGGAGAGTGCCCAGACATACATGCATGGATTGGATAGATCTTCCCAAATACGCTCCCGAAAGAGTGGTGCCGAATATCAGTTCCTGCGCTCTGAGTCCCAGCAAAGCGAAACTTGCTACGTTTCTCAACCCACAGCCTAGGCTGAGTTGGAGTCCGGCATGGTGCCTGGTGCGGTCAACCGTGCGCTGAAAGCTGCTTCAAGGATTTGAACTCAAACAACATCTAGGTGGTTTGGGT